CACTCAACATAGATTAAAGACCTAAATCTATCACCTGACGCTATCAAATTATTAGAGAACATTGGAGAAACCCTGTAAGATATAGGCACAGGCAAAGACTTCTTGGAAAAGACCCTGGAAGCACAGGCAGTCAAAGCCAAAATTAACTGTTGGGATTGCATCAAATTGAGAAGTTTCTGTATTGCAAAAGAAATAGGAAAGTGAAGAGGCAACCAACAGGATGGGAAAAAATATTTGCAAACTATGCAACAGATAAAGGGTTGATAACCAGAAGCTACAAAGAGATCAAGAAACTCCACAAAAACAAAACAACCCACTTGAGAGATGGGCCAAGGACCTCAATAGACATTTTTCAAAAGAGGAAATCCAAATGGCCAACATGCACATGAAAAAATGTTCAGGATCACTAGCAATCAGGGAAATGCAAATCAAAACCACAATGAGGTTTCACCTCCCCCCGGTTAGAATGGCTCACATTCAGAAATCCACCACCAACAGATACTGGCGAGGATGTGGGGAAAAAGGGACACTAACCTACTGTTGGTGGGAATGCAACCTGGTAAAGCCACTGTGGAAGTCACTCTGGAGATTCCTCAGAAACCTGAATATAACCCTACCATTCAACCCAACCATACCACTCCTTGGAATTTACCCAAAGGAAATTAAATTGGTAAACAAAAAAGCTGTCTGCACCTTAATGTTTATTGCAGCTCAAATCACAATAGCTAAGACCTGGAATCAACCCAAATGCCCATCAACAGTAGACTGGATAAAGAAATTATGGGACATGCACTCTGCAGAATACTGTACAGCAGTAAAAAAAAATGAAATCCAGTCATTTGCAACAAAATGGAGGAATCTGGAAAATATCATGCAGAGTGAAATAAGCCAGTCCCAGAGGGACAAATGTTATATGTTCTCCCTGATCGGTGACAACTAACTGAGCATCAAAAAGGAAACCTGGTGAAATGAAATGGACACTATGAGAAACAGTGACTTGATCAGCCCTTGTCATCACTGTTGATGTACAATTTAATACTTTATCTCTTTTAGTATTTTTTGTTCTACTTAATTGCTATTGTAATGTTATTGTAATGCTCAAATTAACACATAATTATTCTTAGGTGTTGAAATTTAACTGAAAAGTGATCTCTGTTAAATATAAGAGTGGGAATAAGAGAGGGAGGAGATGTACAATTTGGGACATGCTCAAGCTTACTTGCCCCAGATGGTGGAGTTAGAAATGTGCCAGGGGATTCCAATACAATCCCATCAAGATTGCATGTACCAATGCCATCTCACTAGTCCAAGTGATCAATTTCAGTTCACAAATGATCATACTGATAGGTCTAAGTGTCAAAGGGATCACACAAACAAGACTAGTGTCTGCTAATACTAACTGATAGAATCAAAAAGGGAGAGAACAATCCAACATGGGAAGCGGGATACACAGCAGACTCATAGAATGGCAGATGTCCTAAACAGCACTCTGGCCTTGGAATCAGCCCTTAAGGCATTTGGATCTGGCTGAAGAACCCATGAGAGTATTTTAGGCATGGAAATCCAAGACACTCTGGCAAAAAAAAAAAAAAAATCTAAATGAAAGGCCTCTGTGAGTGAGATCCCAGTAGAAAGAATGGGCCACCAAAGAAGGAGGTACCTTTCTCTGAAGGGAGGAGAGAACTTCCACTTTGACTCTGACCTTGTGTTAATAAGATCAAAGTCAGCGAGCCCAGGGGGATTCCATGGCCTTGGCAACTCATGACTAGAGCATGGGGAGATTGCTGATGCCTTAAACAAGAGTGTCAATTTGTTAAGTCAACAACAGGAGTCACTGTGCACTTACTCCTCATGTAGCATCTCTGTCCTTAATGTGTAGTTCAATGTGAATTAATGTTATGACTAGTGCTCAAACAGCATTTTGCACTTTGTGATCTGTGTGGGGGCAAACTGATGAAATCTTTACTTAATATATACTTAACTGATCTTCTGTATATAAAGATAATTGAAAATGAATCTTGATGTGAATGGAATGGGAGAGGGAGCGGGAGATGGGACGGTTGCAGGTGGGAGGGAAGTTATGGGTGGAAAAATCCATTGTAATCCATAAACTGTACTTTGGAAATTTATATTTACTAAATAAAAGTTAAAAAAATGTTCCCAATCTGTGCCTTCATGGCTAGCCTCAAGATGCTCCCTTTACCTGGAATGCTTGTTTTTTGTTTGCACTCTTTCTTTCCTGGCACATCTCCATTTCTACTTTTCTTTCTTTTTTTAAATAAAGATTTATTTACTTATTTGAAAGGCAGAATTACAGAGAGGAAGAGAGAGAGAGAGAGAGGATGTCTTCCATCTTTTGGCTCACTCCCCAAATGGATGCAACTGCCAAAACCAGGAGCCAGGAGCTTCTTCCAGGTCTCCCACATGGGTGCAAGGCCCAAAGACTTGGGCCATCTTCCATTGCTTTCCCAGGCCATAGCAGAGAGCTGGGTCAGAAGCGGAGCGGCTGGGACTCGAACCGGCGCCCATATGGGATGCCAGCACTGCAGGTGGCGGCCTTACCTGCTATGCCCCAGTGCTGGCCCCCTATTTCTCCTTTCATTTGTGCTCCCAGGGCATCTGCTTTCTATTGCATTACTCCCCACTGACCACAGATCCCACACCCCCAACCACAACCTCCCACAAAATTAATGATTCTTTGGTGTTCCCAGAGCAGCACATGTTTGCTTCCACTCCAAGTCCTTGTCTCAGTGTATTGTAGTGATCCATCTACTCATCTGTCTCCTTCACCATACTGCCAGCTCCTAGGAAGCCACAGTCACCTTTTCTCAGGTCAAGGACACTCCACTAAGCTCCAAATCTCTCTTCCAGAAGGCTTGGCTGACTACCTGGGCTGAAGTAACAGTTCCCCCCATGCTCTGTAGTACAGCACGTACAGTATTGAAGTGACCTGTTGACTTATGCATCATCTCCTACTAGAATGGGAGTATCCTAGGACAGGAGCTCATGTAATTCATTGCTGCCATCCAAGTTCCTGCCACACAAAAGGACTAAATAAAAGCCCCCGAAAGCCTTTATGGTTTGTAGTTTTAGTGATTTTTCAGTACTTGAGTTATTTTTAGATGTCAAATGGTGCTTTTGTCTCGAACTAAATTGGGTACATTTTATTAAGTGCTTATTACTTTACTATGAAGATTTCAGCTCTATAGATAATTGAAAAGTCTCAAATGCTAGAGAAGGACCATGTTTAGTTGGCAGAAAACCTTCCTGACTTGTGGGTGGTGGAGCTTGAGAGAATGTGGAATTCAAAGGAGAAGAGTGAACATGTAGAGTGATAGGTGGTGCTCGTTCATGGCAGAGGAATGCCAATAAACATGTAACATCCCACCCCTTGGGGTTTACAGCTGTTAACCCCATTTATTAGAGAGAGATTTTAAGAGAAGGTTACTGAAGTTACTTAACAAATTTGTGCTGAAAACCAAGATAAAATGATGCTGAAAATCCCCTCAGTACCCAGAATCATTGGGGGTGCTTGCAGCCACTGCCAGCTCTGCTCCCTTAGGCACTATTTCTTCATCATTCAGGTCTGAGGCCTGGGGAGGGTGGAGCAAGGCTCCTTCTTGCCTGTCCACTCACCTGCCCTTCCTATAGCCACTGAGACGTGGGCAGAAGATGCACTTTAACCATGAAAGACTACTTTTATGTCTGTGGTGCAACCTTCATGGACCCAGTTCCTTGGGGTTTTGGATTTTTTATTCAAAGCCAAGCTTGCTTTATTTTTAAAGGAAAAGATTTTTTTTTTGACAGGCAGAGTTAGACAATGAGAGAGACAGAAAGAAAGGTCTTCTTTCCATTGGTTCACCCCTCAAATGGCCACTACGGCTGGCACAGTGCCGATCCGAAGCCAGGAGCCAGGTGCTTCCTCCTGGTCTCCCATGTGGGTGCAGGGCCCAAGCACTTGGGCCATCCTCCACTGCCTTCCTGGGACATGGCAGAGAGCTGGACTGGAAGAGAAGCAAGCAGCAGAGAATGGGCGCCCCAACCAGGACTAGAACCTGGGGTGCCGGTGCCACAGGTGGAGGATTAGCCTAGTGAGCCACAGTGCCTGCCTCTAAAGGAAAAGATTTATATATTTCTTTGAAAAAGCAGAGCAAAAGAGGGAGAGGGAGAGAAAGAGAATACAGAGAGAGAGAGAGAGAAATGGAGAGAAAGAGAAAGAGATCTTCCATTTACTGGTTCTACCCAAATGACTACAGCAGCTATGGCTAGGCTAGGTAGAAGCCAGGAACAAGGAACTCCATCTGAGTCTCCTGTATGAGTAGTAGGGACCCACGTTCTTGAGCCATCATCTGCTGCTTTCCCAGCCACATTAGCAGGAAGATGGATTGGAAGCAGAGCAGCTGGAACTCAAACTGGCATTCTGGATGTGGGATTCCAGAGTTGCAAGCTACGGCTTAACCTACTGTGCCATGATGCCAGCTCAAAGCCAACTTTTAACACTCCAAACACTTCTTTTCCCCAAAATGGGGTGATGTCAAATGAAGCCAGCTGTGGTCTTCAAGACTGGATTTTAAAATCTACATTCTTCGTTTTCTGGTTAATTGTGCTCTGCTTCTCTGGGCAAAGAAATGTTCCTTGAGGCTGTGAATGTCCTCTGCTCTCAGAGGTGCTCCAGCACTAAAGGCACAAGGCATGGCTGGCTAATAACTCTGTGTGTCATCCCTCCACATGTATTAAAGTGTATAAGTAGTCATCAACACAGCACATTATATGTGATACATACAATTCTCGGGCAACATATATATCTGTATAATTTTCTTCTGCATCCCTCATATGTAGATAAATGTCATCAGGAGAACCTGGACTGGCATGATGGCAGTAAGAGTAGAATGAAAAAGAAGGGCTAGAAACAAGAGACATTTCAAAGACCGACTGATTGCCTGTTGGCAATAATGTGGAGACCCTGCCTTGTCCTGGTAGGAATGTTTATGTTAGAGAGACTAGGCAGATTTTGGCAAATTACCTGAATACACTTAAAGGTTCAGCTTCAGTTGGACCAAACACTTAATGTCCTTTGTTATTAAAGAAATGGCCTTAGAGGACAATGAACCTTAGACCAAGGATTCAGAATTTTCCCAAACCTTACAGTCTGTTATGGTTTGAATGTTTGTCTCCTCCAAAGCTCATGTTGAAATTTAATGGTCTGGCCAGTGCCACAGCTCACTTGGCTAATCCTCTGCCTGTGGCACCAACACCCCAAGTTCTAGCTCTCGTTGGGGTGCTGGATTCTGTTCCAGTTGCTCCTCTTCCAGTCCAGCTCTCTACTGTGGCCTGGGAGTGCAGTGGAGGATGGCCCAGGTCCTTGGGCCCTTGCACTCATGTGGGAGACCAGGAAGAGGCTCCTGGCTCCTGGCTCCTGGCTTCGGATTGGCACAGCTCCAGCCATTGTGGCCATCTAGGGAGTGAACCACCACATGGAAGACCTCACTCTCTGTCTGTACCTCTCTCTAACTCTGCCTGTCAAATAAATAAAATCTTAAAAAAAGTAATAAAAAGGAAAGAAAAAGAAAATGAGTTAGCTGAACTGGGGAACTGATATCTTCCCACATCTCCCAATTTGTACATCACACCTCAGTTCTAGGTGCCAACATTCTCATTAGAATGTATCCATGGCCTTTGGTCACTCTGCCTAGGGATAGGCCAAAGAACATGTTACCCCTAGAAGGACTGTCATATAGATCCATTTCTTCTCTGTCCTATTTCCCTTGATTACTCTTGAATCTATCCCATGGCACCATTTCCCTGATGGGCGGGGCTACTCACTGCCCAGAGGGGCAGGGCATGTTGATGTCATAAGGGACCCTGTGACACAGGCTGGCCTATAAAAGCAGCTGTAGTCCTGGACACCTACCAGTCGCTGATTCTGACTTCTGGACGCAGGACAGAATGACAGATAAGACTAAAAAAAGTTTTGCCTCCCAAGACCATATTCCCCCTTATTCCGTATCTTCCCTCTGGCCTGACCCTGCTGATCCTGAACCCTGGCTTCACCTGTCTATTCCTCCGCCCCAGACTGACCCCCCTAAATCTATATTTGAATCTTACCACCCTGCATTTCTGAACTGGCCTTATCCTCCTCTGCACCCTCTACTCCATCCCAACTATCCATCCTTCCCTCGTGTCCCTTCGCACCAGACCAAAGCCCCAGGTCCTGCATCTGGATCTCACCCTCCTCCTAGTGCCCTGCCCACATCTGACTCTGCTTCTCCTCTCCCGGACCCTCCTCCCGGACCAGTGTTTGAGCCTTTCCCTCCTCCTGCTCCTCCTTACTTGCCCCACCCTCCTTCTGATCCTGCACCCCAACCTGGCCCTGCTCCTGCCCCTCCAGCTTCCCGTCGTGGGCTTCCACAAAACCCTCTTCCTGCTCCTAGTTCCTCCCTCAAGTCTCATCCCCCTTGTCATAGGAAACACCAGCCATGCCCTTCTGTCACTAAACCTAAACCCCGCCCACCCCCTGCTCCCAAGCACAAGCCTCGCCCTCCTACATGTAAACCCAAGTCCAAACCTCCCCCAGATGTTCCTCTCTGCCTTCCTTTCCCCTGCGGCCGTGATCTACGCAAACGCTTCCTAGCCCTTCTTTCTCAACACCCTCACCCTTCTCCTACCCTTTTACACCTACACCACCTTCCTGTCACTGCCCTTCATAAACCTCGTCTCTCGTCCAGCCTATCTCCACAGCGCCACCTTCCTTCAGTCCGTTCAACTTGGCGCGAACCTTTCATTGCCCCTATACACCGCCCTCACCCTCCTCCTGGTCCCCCAGCCCGCTCTCCACGTTCTGCTGCTTCTCGGCGCCATCTTCGGCTTTCCTCTAGTCTCTCTCCGCAACGCCACCCTCCTTCTGTCCCCTCCCGTCGGCGCCACCCTCCTACTACATCTGTGCAGCACCCTCACCCTCCTGGTCCCCCAGCCCGCTCTCGGCGTCCTGCTGCTTCTCCGCTCTGTGCTCGCCTGCCTTCTGATCCTGCACCCAAGCCTCGCACTCCTCCTGCTGCTCTCTCCCAGCCTCAGCCTCACCCTCCTTCTGACCCTCCTCCCAAGTCTTACCCTCATTTTCGTTCTCCTTATCAGTCATTTCCTCTTTTTCTTCCACTCCAGCCTCTTGTTGCTGCGCCCCAGCCTGTCCGTCTTTCTGCTCCGTCCTTCCAGCCTCACCCTCCTCCGTATCCTCCATCTCAGCCCCGTGCTGCTCCTCCTCCTCACCCTCCTGACCATGCTCACCTGCGCTCTGTACCTCGACGCTTGCCTCGCCCCCCTGCTCGTCCATCCCAGCCTGACCGCTCCTCAGGCTCTTCCTTCCCGCCCCACCCTCGCTAAGGTCCTTCTCCCTAGCCTCACCCTCCTCTTCCTCCACCTCCTCCCTCTCATTCCTCCATAGCCACCTCAACCTTCTACGACTATGTCCTGTCTGCCCATTTGTCTCCCACACCAGCCTGATCTTCCACACTGTTCTTACCTTCCGTATGACCTCTCGCTTCAGTCTTGCCCTGCCTCAGGCCCGTCAAATTATAATCCTCTAATCTACCCTCCTCCAGGTCTCCTCACTTTGTCATCTTTTTCCATCCCTGACAAATGATACCCCTTCCCAGCACCTGACCTTATTCACTCCACACCCAGCTCCTCAAGATTCTGTTCCTAATCGTACCTAACCTGCTCATGGCCCTGTGTTATCCTACCTGTTCCTACTCAGCCTCTATGTTATCCCCAACTCCTCCTTCTTACTAGTCCTCTAGACCCTAACACACCCCCACCCACTTGTGATCCTGTCACCCCATCCGTACCTACTGGTTCACACTGCCACAGTTCTGGTGAAGCTCCCCGTTATGACAACCGGACTTCCAGAAACATGATGGTGGGTATAGGGGATGTGGCCCAGGGACAGATTACCCCTCAGCCTGAAATATTACTTGGTTCTTTACAGGACCCTTTTCCATGAGCAAGTCCTGGTTAAGTGACTAAAGTATTTTGCCTTCATCTGCACTTGGTTCCTCTGAATAGACTAGAGTACCTCTAACAATTTCCTTTTCTCTGAACAAGCAGTTAGATCCTCTCCTGCCTGATTAGTGTGCTTGCATCAGCCTTTACAACATGGTTGGAGCAGACCAAACTGCAGGAGCCTAATGGAGGAGAGAATGAGAGGGATTCATCCCCTCTGTTCTTGGGGAGGGTGTGTTCTGTTGCTCTGCCCTGAGTTAAAGTGAGTGAAAGAAATGGGGAGCCCTGAGAACTCAGCTACAGGGCATGAGGATTCCACTGTAGGCTGCTGGGGACCTGTGTGGTTTTTGTTTGTTGTTGGTTTGGTGGGGTGGTGGTAGTTATAATTGACTTGATCTGGTTGTGCTCAAACTTTGTTGTTTCTTTTAATCCCCAAATATTTTATAACAAGGTCCAGGGTCACTAGACTGCTTTCAAATAGCTTGAATGTACACGTTGTTGAATAAGCATGGTGCAGTCTCTGGCATTGCCCACAGGAATCTGACTTTTATAGTAATTTCGTCTCCTTGGAATTTCAGCAAATCCCTGTAGCAGGCATGCAATGGAGAGGAGGAGTCACTAATTGGTGAACAATGACATTATCTCCAGTGGTTGGACTCCATTTCTGTGGATGACAGCTATCCAATAACACAACTCCCATGAGTGCAGAGAGATGAGAACAATTCTGGACAATCCTGATGCCTCTGGCCTCTAAGCTATAGCTCTTCTGCTCCCTTACGCAGGAAAAAGCAGTCCTTCTTTGAGGGATTAAGAAACTCATGTCCCTTGGACCAGTCTTAGCTGCAAGGATAGGCAGGTCTGTTTCTATTGTAATTGAGTCAGCAAGTTGCTCTATGAATGAGCTGTCCTGAAGGTTTTAGTTTTCTTCTGGCATCTCTGTCCCAGAATTGACAAAACAGGTCCGCCAGTTGTAAGGGTGCCAAAACCAAGATGGTTGAGATTCCATTTACTCCATAGAGAACTTGAGGCACTAAAGTGTTGATTCCATTGGATAGATGACCTTTAGAGATGCAGTTATCTTTGGCTGGATTTGCAAGATTGATACAATGAATAACAACTCTTCCCAGGGCAAATACTTCCCAGGGCCAAACCAGTTGGCTTGTTCTGTTTGTTTATTAAAATAGCCACACCCCAATGCTGGCAATTCAGTGGAGATTTTGATCCCTGTGAATTCAGAAGGTTGGTTCTCTTACTGATAGTCAGCCTGTCTCCACAGTTGCTACCATGATCATACTGTATCACATCTGTATAGTAAAGCTCTTCAGGATGTGCAGGATTTGATAAACAGGCATCCCAAAACTTGAGAGTCTCATCCAAGCAACTGGTCATTATACATCAATAACTGTAGACTGGGGCTTTGATCAAATGGTTGTTTCTAATAGGAATATCATGCTGTGCAGTCTGTAGCACTTGATTGCTATTGAGGTCGTGAATTTTGACACTGCTATATCAAAAGACAACACACTGATATATAGAAAGTTGTATTTTGCACAATACAAAATCTTAGGCCCAAGGATTATCATGAATCCTCACATGACTGTATGAAATCCCCACATTCCTTGAAATGTTACTGTTTTGCTCCTTTGACATTTTAATAATTGTCCAAATGTGTAATTTTACTAAACTAAATCTATGTGCTATTTAGGAAATTCATATCCTACCATTATTCTGCTGGTAGAAAAATGTTGTGGGTAGTGGTGGCCTCAGCTGCTGTGGTGTAGGCTGTGGGACATAAGGTGGGGGAAATTCTCCTTGATTTGAGGAATGCATCAGTTCAGGGCATGTGGATGGATACATAGGAGAATGATAGTATGAACTGTGGTACTTGCATTGAAATGGTGTGGACACATGACATTTTCTGAGGCACTATGTGAATTTTATGGATCCCATTGTCTTCTACCACCTATGATGTATAACCAAGAGGTAGATATATAGGTGGCAGAGGACGGGGACATGAGAGGCACATAGGCAGCCCATTGAATATTCTGAATTCTTTAGTGTTGATAGTGAGAGTCTCCCCAGGAATAACTTGTACCAGTATAATCTGTTGTATCCAGTATTGAGGAAAGGAAGGCCATCTGGCCTCTCTCTGGGGATGTTATCATCGTGTGTGAGTACTTAGTAGTATGCTGGGTTGCAGCGGTGGTGTTCCCATGATAGCTCTCCATGTCCTCGAGTGGGCTGCAGCAGCCTTATGACCTCCATTCACTTGTTTTTAAAATGATTCTCCACATGACAGAGCTGAGCAGCAACCAATGGCCAAGCCCTGCAGGCGTAGAGACAGGTAACATGTAGTCACACATATTTTGTGTATGAGATCAGCAGAGGGTTCATACTCTGGGCATCTGTTGTAAAGTGTGAGATGTTTGACTTCCTCCAAAATCTTTTTCAGCAGATTGGCCTACCTGAAGTCTAGTCAGCGGGTGACCACTTCTTTCTTCTGCCACATAACCCCAAGCTCTATTCTGGTGGTATCCAGAAGTGGCCCAGTAGCCAAGTCATATCTGAGCAGCTGGGTCAGGTGAGTTCAGAGCTGGAATGGGACAGAGGATGGAATGGGACACTCAGAGGCACAACATGGGGTAGGGGTGGGACAAAGACAAAACAGATTGGGGGTTATAGAATCTGGAATGGATTTTGAAAGATTACACATGAGCTCCTAAAAAGCTTGGGCAGATGCTATTAGATTAGGGGGATGAGCTTTTCAGACCCTGGAATGTGAGCTAAAGCTAAAGCAAGGAACTCAGGAAGTTGAGAGAAAGGGCCACACAGCTGTGAGGTCCAGGGCCACACTGTGTCCCCAGCCTGAACAGTCCTGAAATCCTTATGCTTAATGAGTGAGTGAATGAAGAATGAAGGAAACACACAATGAGTGGAACCCAGGCCTCAGCGTCGGTGTGTGGGTGCCTCCTAAAACCAGGACTTGGGGGAGGGGTTCTTTCTTTTCCAAGACTGTTTCTGTTGCTTTAAGATAAAGTATATCGAATAAGGCATGTAGTGGAGGCAGATTCAAAGAAGTAATAATAGCCCTCCTGAATTATACTTGCTAAAACTTATATGTCTGTTTCTATGGTTACAAGTCAACACTTATGTGTATGTTACCATAGTTACAAACCAATAATGTGTAAAATACCAAGTTGGTTAGGTTAGGAAAGAGTGATTTTTTTTCTTATTGGTGATTCAGGACACCTTGGTACAGATTGTTTTATCAAATGTGCGAAACATCCATTTTTTTGTTTGAGACAAAGAGGGTTTGACTGTGGCCATCTGCTTTAATGCAGGAGAGGATTCTAGCTTCCTCTAGCATCTTCTTTTAAGAAGTGATTGGCCCAGATGAAGTCTGGTCATGAAGTCCCTCTATTTCCTGGGTCTGCCACATGACAAAAGGGATTTGAATTCAAGAGAGATCCAGATCTGCTTGCCAGGTGAGTCAGTGTTGAAGTGGGCAGTAGAGGAATCCTAAACATTGAGTGTTGGGTTCAAACATGGTACAGCACAAACAGGGACTTGAAGCTACAGTACAGAGAATGGTTTTTGAAAAGTGATATGTGTGTGCTCATGTAAACTTTGGGTAGCTATTCTCAAACAGAAAGAAAAAGAGTAAGAAGATTCTAGGCCATGGAACATTAGCTAATGGAAGGAACGATGAAATAGGAAATTGCAGAAATGTCCTAACAGCTAGCTTGTTCCACACTGTCTGTTCCTGATGTAAACACATCCTGAAACACACTGGCCCAGAGTGAAAGGACGTGTGCAGTCCATAAGGGGATGGGGCCGGCATTCTCCACTGCGTCAAGACACCATTTGGGAGGCCTGTGTTCCTTCTCAGTGTGCCTAAACATTTGTGAAGTGTGCAGTGGGAAGAGTGCAGGCTTTAGATCAGTGTTTAACTGCTGACAAAGACCAGGGGCCAGGGCTAGTTACACTCCCGTGCAAGGCCTTTGTTCATTCCTTTCTCTTATTTAAGGTATACATAGGGCTCAGTGTCACAGAAACAGAAAATAGAATACTGATTGCCAGAGACTAGGGGGAGGGGAAGTGAAGAGTAGGTTATGCTTGATAAAAAGTTCTGGAGACTGCATTCAGTAGGAGTCTACTTTAAACAGTCCTAAAAATGACTGCAATGTAGAATTTCAAATTGTGCTCTACCCCCAATGAAAAAAATCAGAACATAGCTTAACTGCAATAGCATCATGTTAGATTAGGAAAGGTTTATGTTCCTACATTGGCCACATTGGGCTGAATTATTTGTCACATATGAAACGGTGTGTGTGTGTGTGTGTGTGTGTGTGAAAGAAAGCGATTCTATGCTTCCAATAGTGTCAGAAAGGCTATTGACTCCTTCTAAAACGTGTTTTAATAGACAATTTGCCCAAGTGAAATACAATAATCAGGGTGAGGCTGCCATGTACAAGATGGCCAACCCTTTGCTAGCAGGGCCCAGATGAAGATTTCCTATGAGCTCATGTAAGCAAATATTGGAAAGCTGTCCTCAAATCAGGTTTCTAGGAGGCATGCTGTGGAGCTGTGCTCAATGCATAGAATTAGAGTTGCTCTATTGTTTCAAGTGCATTCCTACCTGATATAAGGACATCCTGAACTATACTTTCCTTTACAACTGTGTGAGGAAAGAAACAAGTGGAGTACATAGTGAGAAAGGACACATATGAGTTGATGTTTGGGGATTTATTAAACCAGGGCTGGTCCACCCCTTCAGAGCTGTTGTACTGGTGCTAGCATTAAAATAACCTCTCATTAAACATATTTATTTACGTGAAGAGAACAGATTTCATGTATTTCATATATTCAGTTTCAAGCCTGCAATGATCCCTCCCACCTTTGTTGTCTCCTTTCCCTCCCTCCTTCCTCCTGTTTTTTTCCCCCTTTTAATATTGTTTATTTTTTGAAAGCAAGAATTAGGAGGAGAGAAAGAGAGATCTTCCATCTGGTAGGTCACTTCCCAGATGGCCACAATAGCCAGGGCTGGGCCAGGCCAAACACAGGAGCCAGGAGCTTCTTCCAGGTCTCCCACATGGGATACTGTAGTCCAAACACTTGAGCCAATCTCGGCCTTTTTTGCCAGGCCTTTAGTAGTTGTTGTGCACAGGACATAAACCAGCACCCATATGGGACACTGGTGGCCACAAAACACTCAACCCCACACATTCAATGCACTTCATACTCACAGGTTTAATCCTACACTCAATGAAGAACTCAACCAGAAAAAAATACAAAGACCACTGTTGTGCAATAGTAGACAAGGGCTGTAACAAATGATAAACTATAAGGATGTCAGCTTCACTCATAAACATCAATGTGGGGGGTACAGATGACCCTTTCATATGCTGATTTCATTCCTTTGGGTAAATTCCCAAGAGTGCAAGGGCTGGGTCATATGATAGGTGTATTTTCAGATTTTTGAAGAATCTCAATACTGTCTTCCACAATGGCTGTACTAGTTTACATTCCCACCAACAGTGGACTAGGTACCTTTTCTCCCACAGCTTCAAAAGCACTTCTCTTTCTTTTTCTTTTTAATTTTTGGATGATAGGCATTCTCACTTAGGTGACATGAAATTCATCGTGGTTTTTATTTGCATTTCTATGATGGTTAGAGACCCCGAGCATTTGTCCATGTGTCTGTTGTCCATTTGGATTTCATCCTTTGAAGAATGCCTTTTCATCTCCGTTGTCCATTTATTCATGGGGTTATTTGTTTTGTTTTGGTTCAGTTTCTTGAGCCCCTTATATGTTTTATATCTTAATGGTTTATCAGGAGAATAGTTTGCAAATATTTTCTACCATTTGGTCTGATGCCTCTTCTCTTTGTCAAGTGTTTCCTTTGCTGTTCATAAACATCTTAGCTTGAGCTGGGTCTCACACATGGGTGCAGGGGACCAAGGACTTGGGTGATCTGCTGCTTTCCCAGGTGCATTAGTAGGAATCTGGATTAGAAGTGCACCAGCTGGGTCTCCAACCTGTGCACATATGGGATACCAGCATCATAGGCAGAGGCTTAATCTGCTACACACAATGCTGGCCTCATCTATTGGCCCTTTGTAGTTCATCCTTTGAAAAATGCCTATTTATGTCCTTTACCCATTTTTTCACTGGATTTTTTGTTTTGTGTATACTCAGTTTCATGAGCTCCTTATTATTCTAACATACTAATCCTTTATCAGCTGACTAGTTTGTAGATATTTCTCCCATTCTGTTATTGTCTGTTTGCTTTGCTGTTTCCTTTGCCGTTCCAAAGCTCCTTAGTTTGATGTAATCCCATTTGCCTATTTTTCTTTTACTACCTGTGTTTCAGGTTTCATAAAATATAGAACATTGCTTTTAATGTTGTGGCAGATTGAAAAAAAAATCTACATTGTACGTGTGTGTGGGGGGGGTGTGGGTGGTGATTGTGGCTGTGTGTATGTGTGTGTGTTGCATGCATTCATGTTGACAATAGGCAAACAGGATTTGGAAGCTTTTCAAGATGGAGAAATTTCTGACTCTTTCTCAAATCTTTTATAGGAAATGAATGATGCAGAGGAATGTTTCCAATGAAGCACGTATCACCTGCACTGTATGAAGGAAAAGCATTCTGAGATGATAGAAAGGAGTTACACTGTGCAACACAGAGATTGACAAGCTCCAGGACAACGTCAGATCAAATATTCAGACAGAACTAAGATATTGGTGGTCAAGGTTGTTTAAAGGAAAGCGTGATATTGGTGGTCAAGGTTGCATAAGAAAGATATTGGTGGTCAAGTTGTATAAAGGAAAGTGTGATATTGGTGGTCAAGCTTGTATAAGATGTTGGTGGTCAAGGTTGTATAAAGGAATGTGTGATATTGGTGGTCAAGGTTGTTTAAGGAAGATATTGGTTGTCAAGGTTGTTTAAAGGAAAGTGTGATATTGGTGGTCAAGGTTGTCACTGATATCTTACTTAAAAAACCTTTACCACAGATATCAATTCCTCTTTGTGTGCGAGCAAGCATCAGTATCATGAAAAACTAAGTTATATTGGTTCTTCCTCTGGGAGATTGGTTCATTTTTTTTTCTCTATACATGCGGGAGATTAGTATTTCAATCTTCATATCAATCAGACAACCGTCCTGTGTCGTCTTTTAGACCAATGATTTGTTAAATTCTCAGGTTTT